CTTACTGGTTCTAAAATTGACGTGATTGTTACTGGGAAGGAGTTTTGATGCCTGCTTCCCAAAACAAACCAGCATTTTCCCTTGTTTCCTGTTGATTTACTTTGTAGAGTTTAACCACATGTATAGTTATCTATAGTAATCTCTAAAAAATGCATAGGTTTTGGTTGATTTTACCTTAAAAAAATAGTAAGTTATGGCCCTCCTTGGTGGCACAGTGGCTTAAGGCACAGCACTGCAAACAGGCGCAGCTGCTTTAGTGCAAGTTTGATCCCTGCCCTGGAGCTGACCCACAAGGCGCAGCGGACCTCTCCTGATCAGCCCGCTGCTCCCCTCAGCAGTATACTTTGCCAGTCTGCCTGTTGTACTCCCCATTCTGTCTCTGGTGAATCCTCTTACCACCCACACCTCTGGCCTGTATCCCAGTTCTATATGCATAAATAAATAAATCTTAAAAAAAAATAAGTAAGTTACTTTGCACATTCTTCTCTTTTTTCTTTTAAAATGGTAGTTGCAAGATTTATCGTGTCAGATTACATCATGAGAATGTTCCACAGTCTTCGCCCATCCTCTTCCCAGGGCACTGCTGGGCTGGGCTTGTTCTGGTCTTAGCAGTCCTGCGGTTTGGACACCCCCTACCGTTTTCTGGCACACTTACATCTGGTCTTGTCAAGCATGTGCGCATAGGATGAAACCATAGTTGTGAAGCATAGAATCTTGACTTTCTCAAGAGATTGTCAAACTGTTTTCTGCATTGGCCATGCTGCCTCATTACTGCGGGGCTAACAGAAGTTGCAAGACTCACTTGGTGTACACAGGTAAAATGCGAAAGACAGCATAGGAACTAAGGGCTGACTCCAAAGGCTGAGTTCACTCCCCAACTCCATTGCTTTAAGTGATTACTGTATAAAAGATAAAGGGCGATACAATATGCCAGACATTGGCCAGGGTACTCTTTACTGGTAAGTGATTTACAAAACTCCTCCTAGTCAGCTATTTCCAAATTTTATCCTTGAAAGTACTGCACACACATGCAGGTGTTTGTGTGTAAAGCTATTGCAAGATTCGAAGTAAAGGGAAAATAGATCAGATGGACATATAAAAAGTAAAAAGAATATCTGTGTAACTTCCGGTAGAAAAGAAGACAGAGGGTGAGGGGCAGGAGGGGCTCCCAGCAGCCCGCTGGTGGCAATGCAGGTATGAAGAGGGGGTGTGGGTCAGGTGGCAGAGGCTGGGGGGGGATAGGGATGGGGGGGAGAAAGGGAGGGCCGCAGTGCCCACTTTGGAGGCGGGGATTCATAGGATTTGGAGGTCCTGGATGGGAATGGAGACTGAGGTCTTCCATTAGCATCTAAATGGAGAAAAGCAGGTCATGGAAATCCTCCATGTGAGCATCCCCTGAAGCCTTCTCATGAAACATCAAGGCAGTGAGTGTGTGAATCTGGAGCTCATGGATGAGGCTGCAGGACACAGCAGGCGCAGAAGGTGCAGACATGGACTCTGCAGGGGGGGAGGAGCTGGAGGCAGGTTAAATAAATAGAGGGCACTCAGTTCCTCTTCCCTCACCTCTTCTAGCTGCTTGCCACATGCACAAACACCTGAAGCTGCCAGTTTGTGATTGTCCCACAGGAACTGGGGACTTCAAGGGGCAGAAACATTCTCTCATTGGTCCATTTATTGAGCATTATGTGTGTCAAAAATTGGGGTAGGTGCCTCAATAATAGTAATCATAGTAAGAATTACAATACAATCCTTATTTGTATGCTTTTCCAGCCAATCCCATACCTCACCTCAATTCTCTACCTCTAAAATTTTACAGAGGAAAAAAACTGGGGTCTACCCAAGTTAGAGTCACCTGGTTAAAGTCATACACCCTGAAACACTGACTTTGATTCAAGACCTTCATTCCCAACACCCAACAGCTCTTTCTCCTCGGCGAACAGCACCTCACAATTTCTCCATGCCTACCAGGAGTTGGGTGTCAAAAAACCCCAGGCTTGTGACAGCCCACCTGAACTTGCTAACATGAGCCAGGAAGATGGGAAACGACCAGAGTGGCTCAGAGAAGGGCAGACACAGAGAGTCTCTGGTTCAGTGTGGCGCTGGACTTTGAGGTTTGCATCCCTGCTCAGCCCTGAGCTGATCTGCTGGACTTCGTGATTTGCCTGTAGGCCCTCCCCTCCCGCCACCAGCATTGCTGTGATTAAATCTAGCAACTCAGTGATGTGCCGGAACAGAAAGCGGCATGCGGTAGTGTTCAGTGTCAGCTACTGTGGATATGGAAGGATGACATGTCCTGTGTGGAAATGGCAGCCTTGGAGACCAGGGAGGCAGGAGGCAGGAGGCACTGACTGGGAGCTGGTGTTAACACACCTGGGCATCTTCCAAGTCCTGAATGGTGGAGGAGGTGGGGGAGGCACCGAGCCTAAGCCATTCCTCTCCGCAGTGTGGCCTGAGCCTGGTCTGGTCTTGAGCCCTTCCTGCCCCAGTCTCTGCCTTCATGGCAGGGCGCTGAGGGAAGCAGGGGCTTGCCAAAGGTGCTGGGAACACACACAGAAACACAGCACCTCCTGAGGGGCCGGCCGGCCAGAGCCAACATTCAATCCTCTGTGCACGCCGTGGGTCTGGTGGCTGACGAGCACTGGTGTGGAAGCATTTTAATGTTTTTTAAATACATAATCTGGGATTAGATGCCCATTCACATGACCTTTGTCCGCTCTTGCCTGGAGCCACTGAAGTTTAAGTTAATAAATACTGGAGGAAATGGAAAGGCCAGGCGGAGTTAGTGCTAAGGTTCTGTGGGGAAGTTTCCCCTCTGGGGGTTTGGGGGTGGGAGGCTGGAGGAAGCTTTATGCTGGGGAGGGGGACATATGTCCCCTCTGTGAGTCACTTTCCTCTGTGAATTGTGCCCCATTTCCATTCCAGAAGTCCAGGTCCACACCTACTGTCCAGTCGACTTGTCTCAAGGACTGTCGCAAAATTTGGGAGAAAACAGGTGTCACATTTGAAGCAAAACGCTGTTACAATAGTTCTCAAACTGTAGTCACAAGCCACCAGCAGTGGCATGACCTGCAGATTTGTCAGAAATGCAGACATTTTCAGGCCCCACCTTAACCCTACAGTTCTGGGGCCCAGTCTTCCTCTTCATGAGCCCTCCAGGAGATCCTGTCATGTCAGGAGAGATGTGCAAAGGGCTGGGGACAGGGAAGAGAGCTGCTGGACACAGGCAGGAGGCTGGGGTCTACTCCCAACTCCATTTATCATGATCAAGCTGGCAAGAGCAGACAAAGGCCATGTACAGGGGAATTCACTTCCAGATTATGTATTTAAAAATACACTGACTCTGGGCCCTCCCTGGTGGGTGCAGTAGGTTAAAGCACAGCACTGAGAATCTAAAAGCCTCTTCAGCATGAGTTCGATTCCTGCTTGCCCTGGAGGTGACCACATGGTGTGGCAGACCTCTCCTGACCCACCCGCTGCTCCCCTCAGCAGTGTACTTCGTCGATCTGCCTGTTCTGTTCCCCTCTCTGTCTCTGATGAAGCCTCTCACCGCCCCTGAACCTCTGCCCTGTACCCCAGTTCTGTGTGCACAAATGAATAAATCTTTAAAAAAAATAATAAATAAAAATACACTAACTCCTTAGGTTTCAGTTTCCCCATCAGGAAGCTGAACAAGGCAGCATGTTTTAGTTGCATCTAAAGATCTGTTTCATCAGTTAATATGCCACCGGTGGAATCTTTAACATCTAAGTACCTCATCAATGATACTAATGCTGCTTATCAACTGTCCTCCCCACACCCCTTCCATGGATGGTCCAAGAAGAGCAAGAGCCATGGAGCTACTGGACAGCTTCAGGAGGTTCTGGAATCTTCAGAGAATGCTTGGAGATACACACTTTTCTGGAGAGACCATTTAGTCCCCCAAGCCCCAGAACTGCTGATTGCAAGGCACCTCTACACCTTCGACCCCCACAACCATGATGGCCTGTGGCACTCCTACAGAGTGTCAAATAAGAACTGCCTTTCAGACAGCCCCCCGGGGGAAGGAAGGGCTATGGCACCAGGGATAGAGACCCAAATATAGAAAGTGTCAAGGCCTGCCTTGCCTGAACTCAGCCCAACCCCCTTGGGGTTTTCCACATTTGCTAATGAATAACATACCAACTGTACAGGCTGGCGTGGGGGTGATTTCACCCTCCATGTATTTCCATAGCAGGAGGCAGGACAGGGGCCAGACACACACAACACAACTCTGCCAGTTGCTTCAATATACCATGGAACAATCCCAGCACCTCCCTCTATGACTCCAATTTAGAAACGAGAAGACTGAGGTAGGAAGTGATGTGACTTGCCAAAGGGTAAAGTGGGATGAGTCCAGGTATTAGTGACTGGCCCACCACCCAATCATTGGCCCAACAGGGCTGGAGGGGCAAGAGGACTCAGTCACGGGGGGGTGGTTTTGGAGCTGCCTCATGAACACAGTGGAAAATTGAAACTATTTTTTAAAAGGGTTTCAAAAACACAGGCTGACCTTTCCTGGTGTTACACATGCATTTCTGCCCAGGGTTGTCAGGAAGCCACTTCCATGCCCTGTCCCGAGATCCCAAAGCCCCAGCTGCTCGCAGGGGCTCACGGGCTGGGCTCAGCATTCCTGGGAACCCATGCTCTCATAAGGAAAGGGGCCCAAACAGGGCACCCAGCATGCAGCCCCAGCTTCCTCACGCCCAGCGCTTCCAGTCCTTCCAGTCCACATGGCGCAGCAGCAGCTCCCAGGGTCCAGGTGGGGTGTGGAGGGGCTTCTCTAAGGTTTGACCATCTTAGGATGAGCGCTCTACACATAGTTCTTGCAGATTCCCTGTAAATGTGGCCACAGGCCGCTGTCAGGGAGATGGGGCAAGCCAGCTACAGTGCAGGGTGATGAAAAAGACTGCATCAAAGCAGGGAATTGAATTAAGTTTCATTTATTCTAGGGCAAACTCAAAGGGATTTTTTTGTTTGTTTTCTTTTTTAGCAAATCCTAGCACATTATTAACAAAAAAATCTGTACATTTGCCATGATACACTTGAAAGTGAAACAAATAAGATATAAATACAGATATGGATGTAACATGAAAAAGCTCCAAAAAACAAAAAACAAAAACCCATCCTGGGGGCGTGGGGACCATGCGTGTGAACACAGTGCTGACGAAACTATTTTGGTGGCTGATTATTTTCCAGGGCATTTCTTTTTTCGTTTCCAAACATCATTGTTAGCAAAGTCCTGATGGGATCCTATAGTTCTTATCTGCTGTTCTTTAATGTGTCATATTATGCTTGATAAATAAAGGGCGTGGCAGGGAAAGAAAAAAGACTTATGAGACAAAAATCTGTTGCATTACCTGCACGGGGGTTGGGAAGCTAGTGACGAGCCACAGAAAGGCAGCCCCTTGGCTGTCTGCGGGCACCGGTCCAGCAAAGCACACACAGTGTACTTGAGGAGGGCTGCAGGCCTCACCTCGCCCCCAGCCTCTGGGACTGCGGGGGTCGGAGGAGACATGGCAGCAGCTTGAGGGAAAGCGGGATCCTGACGAAAGGCCCCAGCAGAGAGGTGGGTTGTTCTGGGCCTCAGACAGTCAGGTAAATCGGGGAGGCCAACACAGTCTTGCGTGTTTGCTCTTTTGTGTTCTGTTGTTTCATCGGAACAGGAGCCCTGCAAGGAGGCGGCGGCAAGGCAAGGCAGCTGCAGCTGTCGGGTTTCGGAGGGTGGCGTGGATGCGGCCTCCCTCTGTGAGGTGGTGACGGCATGCGAGTCTCCTCGGCAGCAGGCAGCAGTTCTGATTGAGGCCAAGAGACCTGTGAGTGATTGTATCTCTCTAGTCGGGAGATGGAAGGCTGGGCAAGTATATTCAAGGCTAGCCCTTTATGAGTACTATGAGGACATCAGGCAATGTTCAAGATTCTTCCAACTATGGGGCAGGATGGGGCCATGGTGACCTGGGAGTCAGAGTTAAAGGAGAAAGGTTTTCTAAAAGAATTAGGCATAAAGAACTTATAAATAACCTAGCCAGAACACACGTTTCTACAACAGAGTAATCAAAAGACACTTACTTGCATGGTGTAAAAAGAAATTCCATTAGTGAAATAACAGATGGTATTTATCAATGAAAGTAAGGCCTGGTCTTGCAATATTCTGAGCCAAAAGTCAGTCAATAATATTCAATCACTTAAAAATGCACCCCTGAAGTTCCCTCAACAGCAGCAGTGGGGTACTGACTTCTTCTTTTGCAAGGTAACTCCTCTATATGCATGCACGCTCTCTCTTTCTCTCTGTCTCTCTCTCTCACACACACACACACACACGCACACACGCTCACTCCCACACACTCATGCCCTCTGTAGTGAAGGTGCCCTGGCGTCACTGGTCCTGTACTTTCATTTTCAGTGCCTATTTCCAAATAAAGTATCTAAAATAAATTCTGAATGAAAATGAACTGTGTTTGCTAGAGTATCTTTCACAGCTTCCCACATCGAAGCTAAAGGCCTGGAGGGGGTCTGTGGAGATCAGTGAGGAAAACCACATAACTAGGCTTCTCAAAAGGCTGGCTTTGGGGCCCCCCTCTGGAACAGCAAAATTTTAATGATGTCATTAAAAATTAACACCAGAACATGCTTTTTCTTCAGGGAAAAATTAGTTCAATTTAGAGAATATAAGATATTAAGAGATGATAAAAGTCTTCATGATTGCATTAAGAATTTCCATTTGGCTTTAAGAATTTTACTTGAAACTTACGTAATCAAAATCCAAAACTACAGTCTATTAGAGCAATCAAATCCACAGTAATTTTTTTTTTTTTAAAGAGGGTAGATTCGGCCCTCTCTGGTGGCACAGCGGGTTAAAGCACAGCATTGAGAATCTAAAGCCGCTTCTTCATGAGTTCGATTCCCGCCTGCCCCGGAGATGACCATATGGCGTGGCAGACCTCTCCTGACCCGCCCGTGCTCCCCTCAGCAGTGTACTTCGTCGATCTGCCTGTTCTGCTCCCCACTCTGTCTCTGGTGAAGCCTCTCACCACCCGTGAGTCTCTGGCCTGTACCCCAGTTCTGTATGCACAAATAAATAAATTAAAACAAAAAAAAAAAAAAAGAGAGGGTAGATTCTCTGATAGTTTCTCACTGAAGAGAAGGAAACAGACTTTAAAGCTGTTATTTCAAATTGTTTTTCTGCAATTTGATATCATAATTACTTTTCCCCTAAACAATGACTATTTCAACAGATGATCAAGGAAGTACTTCAGTCCATAAAATTAAACAAAAAAACTCTGGTATCTGGTCTCTCTAGACTTTTCTTTGATCTTGATACCAGATTAAACAGAGAAGTCAAAAATGAGATGGTAGAGTTGCTGTTTACCAGATGAACTGAAGACATTTAGGACTGAGCAGCTTAGGGTAAGGCTGGGGGAGAGGAGAGAAGATCGCACTGTGCCAGTCACCAAGCACCAGGGCCCCGGAAGAAGCCCACTTCAGAGTATTTCTTCAAGATCTTATACGACAAATCACTTCATTTACATCTTCTATGCTTTCAGGAAGTGCCGCTTTAGGCCTCTGCTAACTGCTGCTAGAAATTTACCTTGATTTTTGTGTTTGGACTTAAAACTTTGATTTAAGTTTAATTCTGTCAGGTGGAAATCTGTTGCATTACCTGCACCGGGGGTTGGGAAGCTAGTGACGAGCCACAGAAAGGCAGCCCCTTGGCTGTCTGTGGGCACCGGTCCAGCAAAGCACACACAGTGTACTTGAGGAGGGCTGCAGGCCTCACCTCGCCCCCAGCCTCTGGGACTGCGGGGGTCGGAGGAGA